AGCAGGAATTTCCATCTCACTCTTGGCCCTTTCATGGGAACACTCCAGCCCATTTCTCTGCCTGGAGATTTTCAGCTGTCCCCTGACGCATGACAGAAAGCAACAAGGAGGAGTCATGAGGGCAAAGCCAGGCTGTCAAGTACAGTGACCTTCGGTGACCTTCTCTAGTCCTAGCTGTCAGCAGGTGGGCAAGGACGTCTCAAAGAGGGCCCTGAGGTCTCTGCTCCCTTACAGCTGCCAGATGCAAGTTTCTGGAAGGAGGAGAGGTGAACTACTGAGAGCTACCTTAGCAGGAGGGTCGGATATCAAGAGGAAGATGTCTCATGTGTAAATTATCCTGGTGATCAACCCATGGTGCAGCCACGGCTTTCCTGGTCACCAGGGCTGGGCGGGACATGGTGAGAAACCTCAACCCTCCCGGGAGGCCACAAGCCTATTTGCAAGCTCAAATTAGCTGTGTGTGCATAGACACCAGGTCCAGCCATATGCTAGGAAGGAGATATCCAGGCACTGCGTTGCAGCCAGGTAGCCCACCACTCTTAAGGAAATGCTGTCCCTAGCCTGAGTAAGCTGCTGTCACTCCCTCTGTGCCTCAATTTCTCCATCTAGACAAGCAGCAAAGCTATCAGAGTAGCGACTGCCTTTTACTCTGCCTACAGAGCACACGCAGGTCCTCTTGCAGCCCACATTGGTAGGAGCTGCCAATATGGATGCTGCAGCTGCTGCTAATTTAATATAAGACCTTAATTCAGTTTGCCACACAACAGCAGTAAATCCTATCCTGTGTGATTTACAACACTGTTCTAGGTCTAAGGTAGCCTATGGGCAGCACTTGATTTCTCAAGGGGAACATAAGGCACAGAGTGTGAAAGGAGGACTTGGAAAGCTGAAGGTGGTAACAAAGAGGCCAGATTTGCATTTGCAGCAAAATACTGGTGGGACACCACCCTACCGGGGCATAGCAGCCACCTGCAGAGGGAAGGTCCAGTCTGAGCTTAGCCAGATGCTTGCAGCCCCAGTCACAGCCTGTGCTGGCCAGGACATGTTCAAGTTATGCTCAAGGGATGCATTCACTAGTAGACACCTTCCACATGAGTCTGTCCACGGTTGCAGCAAGCCTGGGCTATGCTGAAATCATAGTCCTATGTTGAAATCGTACAAAATGCAAGGCTTTCTATCATTTTGTCAGATATTTTCACTAAGTTTCAGTAAGGAATGTGGGGCTGGATGGGAATTTAGGATCCTTCAATTGCAGCATGTCACGCAACCTAACCGAGAGACTGCTGAGTTCCTCCCTGGTTTCTGTGGTCCTTCCCTTTTGCAGATACAGAAGATCCTTGCTGTCCTGGATGGGACCTTCTGATGCTCAGAGTCCTCCACCAGCCTAACATCTGGGCTAGTCCATATCCTGCCAAAGCTGTCTCATATTCTTTTTTTTTCTCCAGTGTGTTTCCTGCTTCTTCCCTCTCCAGCCCCCCACCATGTATTTATAGAGTGATCTCTCCGCCTTTGTTTTGCTAGACTAAACAAATCATGCTCACTTGGAATCACAGGGCCTTTAGAAAGCCACAGAGACATCCCCTGCCTCAGGCAGACCCAATTATGGTACATGTTTATCTACCATGTGCTTAAAGACCTCCTGAGATGGGAACTGTAAGCCCTCCCCAGGCTCCTCTCTCTCCATCCTTATTTTTCCCTGATGTCTGACCTTAACTGGTAGGATTTTAGCCCATGGCATCTTGTCCTATCTATCATGGAAATGGAGAAGTTTATTCCTTTCTTCTTTGTAAAAGGTTTTTATGTGCTTGAAAACTGTTTCATGTCTCCACCTTGTTTCTTCAGGCTAAAAAGTCCGGATAACTCCATCTCTTCCTAGAGATCATGTTTTCCTGGCTGCCAGTCAGTATCTCATTGCTTTCTTCCAGCCAAGGCCTCCTCAAGGCAGAGGAGAGCAGAAGGACTGTTTGCAGGATATATACGCCAGGGTGGTGCTGGCCTTTTTTTCATGACAGCACTATATTTTTGGCTGGCATCCAGGATGTGATAGATCACAGTCTCCTCTCCAAGCCTGCCCATGTCTTGAAGATCCCATTAGCCCTAGAAATCACTCATTTCAGGTTGACTTGATTTTTCTTGAACCTAACTGCAGGAACTATACATACAGTAGGGCCTGGTGCAATGGCATTAATACCTCCCCATTCCCTTGGAAATTCACTTTATGGGAGTTTTAGAGTTCATTTAAGCCTGCAGATTATAGGAGGCCGCTCAAAATACATTCTGCCCAAACAAAAACATCTACATGTAACCCCTAAAAGGCTGAAACAGCTCTGAACTCAAACAGCTATGAACTGAACCCAGGAACACATCTGTTATATACTCAACTGGGCTTCCTTTTTACTGTAAGCTGTCTGTTTTATGGAAAAGCTTTAGATACAGCAGCCTATCTGTGAAGCCAGCCTCTGATCCAATTAGAAGTGGAAGTTCAGATGTGGCTCCAGTACCAAATTCAAACGCACCTCTAGGCTGACCCATCTCAGAGATGAAAATCCAGGCACTGGAGCTAGGCTTAGGCTGACATTTTGGGGCTTAGAACTATTTCTAATTTAAAAGTACACACAGCTAAGGGAATATACCTAGGAGAACAGCAGCCTGGCTTAAGAAATGGAGTATTTTTCATGAGGAGACACAATGGGGTGAGGCAGAAAGAAATATTTCTATCACCACAATACTAAAACATGTTTGGAGCTGAGTTTGATTTCAGAGCAGCAAAAATGCAGGAGGCCTGCATTGCTGGCACCTATTAAGTTGCCATGGAAGAGGAGCTTTTAAAACAGCTTTTTAGAGTCATTCCTCAGATCCTAGTAGAGAAGCTGCCTGCCAGAACTGCAGGAACAGCGTGATGGATGAGCCATTCACAAGATCCCAGCTTCTTTAGGGCAGGCGAAGGAGAGACCCACCACACCCACAGCTGGCTTTGACCCTTTCTGTCCCCCTTTCCATCATAATAGAAAAATGGCAATTTAATAAGGAAGGGCACAAGCATGGGCAGAACACCTGGGGATGGCATCTGGGACCAGGTCCAAAAGGCTGAAGGCTGGTCTCCAAAGCGAGACGCTCTGGCAAGCAGCTCACAATCTCCAAGGGCCCGTTTTAAGTATTCTCAATTAAATATCTGATGATAAGGGCCCTTGGGAGCCCAAGAGTGGCTGCTGCAGGCTGAAATCGCCTTGGGGGTGTTTGGGTTCAGTTACACCAGGAATGGTACATGGAGGTGAGTCTTCATGGTCAGAGCTGCTGAGCTCTGAAGGGACAGCATGAGACTCGCAGGCCAGTGGAGAGGATGGCCAAGCGTTGTAGTCTGGGTTTTGGCTGCCTGACTTGGCATTCATGCTCTGCCAGAGTCCCTAGATGTGCCAGTGGGATTCCCAAGGCCATTGGGAGCAGCGGGAGCTTTATTCCTCTGGGGATTTGGGGTGGCTGGTCCCCCTGTGCGCGGGAGCTTTATTCCTCTGGGGATTTGGGGTGGCTGGTCCCCCTGTGCTGTCAGGAAAAAGGGGCTGTGCAGGAGGGGGGGCATCCCAAAGGCTCTGTGCCGTGGCATGACACTCTTCCAGATGCATTTGAGGCTCCCATTTGCCTTTCTTCACACAGCATTACACCCTTGAACACTCTATGACGAGGAAGAGCCCACCAGCCCCCTCCTCCTCGCTCCCTTCCCAGCAACAAGCCCAGAGCGAATGGGGCTGGTGTCCATCCCCCAACATGATGTGCACCTTGGCAAGCACATCGCTCCAGCCCTCCATGGAGTCTCACCCCTTGCCGGACAAGAGTCATTAATGCCAGGGCTGACTGTGTACAGAGCCAAGCCCTGGAGGAACGCCAGACGAACATCCCTCCAGCCTGAGACGTGCTTTCTGAACACTCAGCACTGCAGCAGGCCAGGGAGATTTTCTTCTGGTCTGTT